TTGGGCTAAAATTGAGTTATAGCTTTCCTATGATAGCTAAAAATTAGTTTCATAATAGGGTTGAGTACATTGGATACTTTTTCTTCCATTCTTGAGATACTTTGCTGAGAATATTTTCCAGCTCCATCCATGTAAACATGAAGTAGGTAAATTCTCCATCTTTCTTTATGGCTGCGTAATATTCCATGGTGTACATATACCACAATTTATTGATCCATTCATGGGTCGATGGGTACTTGGGCTTCTTCCATGACCTAGCAATTATGAATTGGGCTGAAATGAACGTTCTGGTACAAATATCTGTATTGTAGTGTGATTTTTGGTCTTCTCGATATATACCTAGCAGAGGAATTATAGGATCAGATGGCAGATCTATTTTTAGCTCTCTAAGTGTTCTCCAGATGACTTTCCAAAAGGGACATATTAGTTTCCAATACCACCAGCAGTGTAGAAGTGTTCCCTTTTCTCCACAATCATGCCAGCATCTGTGATTTTGTGATATGGGCTAATCTTACTGGTGTTAGATGATATCTCAAAGTAGTTTTGATTTGCATTTCTCTGATGATTAAGAATGGTAAGCATTTTTTTCATGTATCTGTAGGCCATGCATCTGTCTTCCTCAGAGAAATTTCTCTTTAAGTCCCTTGCCCACCCTGAGATAGGATCACTTGTTCTCTTCTTGCTGATATGTTTGAGTTGTCTATGGATTCTGGTTATGTATCTAGCCTCAGAAAATTTAGAAGAATAGAAATTATTCCTTGCATCTTCTCAGATCATCACGGAATAAAAGTGGAACTCAGTAACAACAGGAATCTGCTTATTCATACAAAAACAGGGAAACTAAATAACCTTATGCTGAATGATAGCAGGGTCATGGATGATATTAAGAAGGAAATTACCAAATTTTTTAAACAAAACAACAATGAAGACATGAATTATCAGAACTTCTGGGGTACTGCAAAGGCAATCCTAAGAGGCAAATTTATAGCATTGCAATCCTTCCTCAAGAGAACAGAAAGAGAGGAAGTTCTTCTTTCCTTCAACTGGACCATGTCCCAACTAAATGGGATATCTCAAGCAACTGGAAAAGGAAGAACATTCCAATCCCAAACCCAGCAGAAGAAAAGAAATAACCAAAATTAGAGCAGAATTAAATGAAATTGAAAACAAAAGGATTATACAACAAATCAATAAATCAAAAAGTTGGTTCTTTGAAAAGGTCAGTAAAATAGATAAACCTTTAGCTAACCCAACCAGGAAAAAAAGAGTAAAATCTCTAATTTATCAATCAGAAATGACAAAGACTAAATAACAAGATTTCTCAGAAATTCAAAAAATCTTAGAGTATTACAAAAAACTCTATTCTCAGAAACATGAAAATCTGAAGGAAATAGACCAATACTTGGAAGCATGCCACCTTCCTAGACTTAAACAGAATGAAGTGAAAATGTTGAACAGGCCTATAACAAGTTCTGAAATAGCAACACATATATAAAATCTGCCTAAAAAGAAAAGCCTGGGACCAGATGGCTTCACATCAGAATCCTACCAAACCTTTAAAGAGGAGCTAGTACTTATACTACTTAACCTTTTCCAAAGTATAGAAAAAGAATGAATACTACCCAACACATTCTATGAAGCAAACATCACCTTGATCCCTGAACCAGGAAAAGACCCAACAAGAAAAGAAAATTATAGACTAATATCTCTAATGAATATTGATGTAAAAATATTCAATAAGATCCTAACAAACAGATTTCAGCAACACATTAAACAAATTATATACCATGACCAAGTGGGTTTTATCCCAGGATCTCAAGGCTGGTTCAATATATGTAAATCTATAAATATAATTCATCACATAAACAAAATAAAAGAATTTTTTTTTCTAGTTTTTGGCCAGAGCTGGATTTGAATCTGCCACCTCCAGTATATGGGGCTGACACCCTACTACTTTGAGCCACAGGTACCACCCCAGAAAAAGCTTTTGGTAATATCCAGCATCCCTTCATGATCAGAACACTTAAGAAAATGGGTATAGAAGGGACTTTTCTTAAACTGATAGAGGCCATCTGCAACAAACCCACAGATAATATTGTATTGAATAGAATTAAATTGAAATAATTTCCACTCAGATCAGGAACCAGACAAGGTTGGTCATTGTCTCCATTGCTCTTTACCATTGTAATGGAAGTCTTAGCCATCACAATTAGGCAAGAAAAGGCGATCAAGTGTATCCATATAGGGTCAAAAGAGATCAAACTTTTACTCTTCACAGATGATATGATTGTATATCTGGAAAAAACCAGGGATTCTACTACAAAACTCTTAGAAGTGATCAAGGAATACAGCAGCATTTCAGGTCACAAAATCAACACTCATAAATCAGCAGCATTTATATATACCAGCAATAGTAAAGCTGAAAAAACAGTCAAGGACTCTATTCCATTCACAGTAGTGCCAAAGAAGATGAAATATTTTGGAGTTTACCTAACAAAGACATGAAAGATCTCTATAAAGAGAACTATGAAACTCTAAGAAAAGAAATAACTGAAGATGTTAACAAATGGAAAAACATACCATACTCATGGCTGGGAAGAATCAACATTGTTAAAATGTCCATATTACCCAAGGCAATATAGAATTTTAATGCAATCCCTATTAATGCTCCAATGTCATACTTAAAGATCTCAAAAAAATAATACTTAATTTTATATGGAATCAGAAAAAACTTCAAATAGCCAAGACGTTACTCAGAAATAAAATCAAAGCAGGAGGAATCAC